TTTTCCCATTTCCCTCATTTTCCAAGTTTGTCCTACATACAGGAACACAAGTTTAGTAAGGCGTGTTGTGATTTTATGTGTCTGTTCTTCCCACAACACACGTGTTTTGAATATTATTGATAACTTGAGACCATTTCCCATCCTCCTGCTTCTGTGCCCCCTCCCCAGCACTGGGGTACAGGTGTACGCATCACCGAGTCTGGCTTTTTACATGGGTGTTGGGGACTTGAACTCAGGTCCTCAAGCTTGCGCAGCATGTACCCTGACCCACTGAGCCGTCCTCCCCAGGCCCGATCCAGTGTTTAAAGGCTGCTTGCTTCTCAAATGCCTGGTGATGTTTGGTTCCTAGTTTATGTCACCCATAAACGGTGAGGTTAGTGATCCACAGGTCTCTGGCTCTTGTCTGAGTCTGGCCCTCCCTCCCTCCACAGGCTCTCCTTTGCCCTGGTGGGAGGTGGGTGCCCGGGTGGGGTTTGCTGCCTGGCTCACAGGCTCCCTGGAAGTCCACCTGGCTGAAGGCAGCACACCAGGGCCCTCCCGCGGTTTGGTTGGGGTTCCTCTGGAGCTGGCTCTCTCCTTTGTCCCTGTCTTAGTCAGTTTTCTGTTGCTGTGTGACGACCCTGTGACCAAGGCGACTTAGCGAAGAGGGAGTTTATGTCACAGGCGTGAGAGTCTATGACCGTCATGGCAAGGATCATGTCACCAAACAGGCAGGTGTGGCAGCAGGAGCGGCTGAGGGCTCACATCGCGATCTGCAGTTTGGAGGCAGAGAATACTCACTGGGAGTGCCTGGACTTTTGAAATCTCGAAGCCCACCCCCAGTGACACACAGCTCCTCCAGGAAGGCCACACCTCCTAATCCTTCCTAAACAGTTCCACCAACTAGGGGCCAAGTATTCTAACAAAAGCCTGTGTTAGATCACAGGCTTTTCAGATCACTGCAGGCCCCTCCCCAGCCCCACTACAGGGAATGGCAGACATGGCTCCCCACATCTGCCCCTGTGTCCTCCACAGCACGGATCACTTGCTGTGGGGATGTCTCCTGTCTTCCCTGAAGGCCTGCTCTTCCCAGTGGCTCCTAGGAGGATTGTTGGTTTTTTGTTTTTGTTTTTTTCATCATGCTCTGTCGGCTCCATCTCTCTGAGTCACATAGGGTTCTGCTCCACTTCCAGCCTTTCTTTTGATTTACGGTTATCACACAGGTAAATGAATCTTTCTTTCATCTCAGCAGACTCCTGAGGGGCCTGTGTTTAGTCAGCTTTCATCAAGGAGAGGGGATTTCTTGTACGTTTTCATGTTTGGGACTTACTTGGTTGTGGTTTAAAGTTTTTGGTATTTGTTGTGTGAGACACACAGAAGCATCACTCACCTGCATGGTGGCACTCACCTGCAGTCCTCAGGAAGCTGAGGCAGGAGAATCAGAGTTCAAGGCCGTCCTGAGAGCCATGTAGCGAGATCCCCATCTCACAGAACCAGCGAGAGTTGAGGCTTGTCAGGGCAGGTTCTGCTGTGGGAGGTGAACACATGTTGCCCTGGCCACACTTCTGAGTCTAACTTGTTTCCTGAAGTGAGTCCTGCAAAGCTTTTTCTAAGAAACCAAGAAAGTATGAGAGTGTGGATTTTAACTCTTCACCATGTTAGTTTTCAGTGAGGAAAAGGTTTTAAACGTTTGATTCTTTCACAGTTTCATCCACATGCAGTGCGCTTGACCACATTCCCGCCATCCATCCTTCCTCAATCCTGCTTCCCACCAAACCTCTTTCCTCATTCTTCTTCCGGGATGTTTTTTCCCCAATGGAAAAAAAAAAAAAATCAACATGACTTTTCTACATTGCTTTTTTCAGATCACTCTGAAGCATTGCTTAGTACTTTATCAATGTCCTTTTCTGCGGGATATCAGAAGCCCGCTCATGAAAACCAGTGTTTATTAAAACAGAAGAATAGAGGCTGGTGGGTGGTGCAGCAGGTAGGAGCTAATCCCAGGGGGTTAGGGATCGAACTATCTGCAGCTCCAGTTCCAGGGGATCGGACGCCCCCTGCTGGCCACCCTGGGCACTGTATGCACATGGTACACATATGTACTTGCAGGCAAAACACAGACACATGTAAAATAAAAATAAAGGGGAAAGTTAAGCAAAATAGAAAAGCACTCATAGACTTCTAATGGTAGGCTTCTCTATCTATACGTTTTATAAGCCACAGACTGTCTAAACTTGGACACTGATTCATGTTCCCTGTGCACGTGGTAAGGCGTTTCCCTGGAACGTGGGCCTGCGCTGTCTAAAAGTGCGCACATGGAGGTCAGAGGGTAACCGTCAGGAGTTGGCTCTCCCTTCTTCCGTGTGGGTTCCAGATTGAACTTGGGTTGTCAGACTTGGTGGCTAGCAGTGGTGTGTGATGCCTGGCTGCACCTCAGAGCCTCTGTTCTCTCTCTCTCTCTCCAGACGGTCCAAGGTTGCTCGCGTCATCGGCTTGCTGGCCTCGCACACAACAGAACTTCAGGAAAATGTGCCCGTTATCGAGGTGATGTTTTTTGTTACTGACATGTTTTGTGTGGCAGAACAGATTGCTTTTGGTTTTGTAGTTTAGAGCACACAGCTTTCATTGTCTTTTTTTTTTTTTTAATTTTTCGAGACAGGGTTTCTCTGTGTAGCTTTGGTGCCTGTCCCGGATCTCACTCTGTAGCCCAGGCTGGCCTCAAACTCACAGAGATTCGCCTGGCTCTGCCTCCCAAGTGCTGGGATTAAAGGCGTACACCACCACCGCTCGGCTTGTTGTCCTTCGTTTAATTTTAATTTGAGGCATTGTGGTTGTTGTAAGACACAGACCTTGCGGCCCTCCCAGCCCTGGGCTCTGACTCACAGTTCAGGCTCATATAGAATTTGGCCTCTCGTTGCAGGCGGCAGAGGCATGGGCTGGTTTAGATCCCAGGTCACAGTTAAGGCAGTTTCTTCTGGGTTCTCACCATGGATTTAACATTCACCCCCTTGTCCCGGGACAGCTGTCCTCTGACAGGTGGGCCCAGTGCTTGAAGTCCTGCATGCACTGAAGCATTTTCTGGAACCAGTGTTGCTCACCCCTGCCTTCCTTAGTGCTGGGGTCTCACTGAGGGCCCACACTTGCTGGAAAAGCACTGGTGTTAGGAAGGGGTTTGGCAGGTGTGGTGGTGAACCCCTTAACCCTAGTAGAGGCACACCTGGTCTAATAGGCGATCCAGCTCAGCCAAGGCTGCACAGTGAGACCCTGACTCAGACAACTGAGTAAGGAAAAAAGAAAGGGTTTTATGTAGTTACCCAGCGACCCCAGGCCTGCAGGGAGAGTGCCACCACTGTAGTTACCCAGAGACTCCAGGCCTGCAGGGAGAGTACCACCACTGTAGTTACCCAGAGCACCACCAGGGAGAGTGCCACCACACTAGTTACCCAGAGACTCCAGGCCTGCAGGGAGAGTGCCACCACTGTGTATCTGTGCCAGCTCTGGGAGAGCTGACGGCTTCCTTCTGTCTCTCCTGCTAACTGGCAAAGGTCTTTATCCTCAAGAGTCAAGTAGCTGAACATCACCATGGTCTTCAGGGCTAAAGACGGGAACTTGGGGTTGGTGGGAGATTTGTAGGGCTGGAGCTGGGGTGTGGTGTTGGATCTGTAGGAGGATCATTTAGTCAAGAGGATTTCCTGCAGTGATGGCTTACCTGGTGAGAGGCTGAGGGAGGTGAGGGAAGGAACGTTCTTCACAGGGTGAACCAGAGGTGAAGCTGTCACCATGCCTCAAGAACCAGGATGTGAGCGTAGGTAAAACTGGCTGTGGGGACCGCTGGGAGGCAAAGCCAGTGAGTGTCCAAGGCCACACGGTAGAGACTCGTGGGGTCTGACTGGGGCTCAGGATTTGATTCCGAGCGAGAGAGGGGGATCCTAGGGGGTGCATGAACCATGAATTCCCGGGCGTGGCTTCTGTCTGATGTAATCCATCTGGTAAAATGATGGAGAAGCTTCTGTCAGAGGGTAGGGATGTGGTGAGCTGCATCATGTTAGCATTGTGAAACTGGGTGGTCCAGGTTGGGTAGAATGAGTAACCGCTGAGAAGAAGGCGTTAGGCTGGCTTGCGTGTAGCTGGCTGGGCGCCTCAGAGTGGCTGTGCACACTCTGTAACAGGCCGCCTCAGAGTGGCTGTGCACACTCTGTAACAGGCCGCCTCAGAGTGGCTGTGCACACTCTGTGTGTCAGGCCGCCTCAGAGTGGCTGTGCACACTCTGTATCAGGCCACCTCAGAGTGGCTGGCTGCACTCTGGAGAAGCTAAGAACCTGGCAGCTTCTTGTGCACTAGGTTGGAGGCCTCAGCAGTCTTCGTCTGGTGCTTGAAGGCCTGGAAGATTCCTGGAGAGATGGAAGACCAAAGAAACTGGAGTCTGATGTCAGCCCGGGATGTGACAGCAGCAATAGGGTCGATGAATCAGTAAGATGTGGAGGCAGGCAGGCAAAAAGCAAAGGCTGTTCTGAGGACCTCCTCATGTCTGGGCTGTCTGGGGAAGGTGGTGTGCTTAGGGTGTGTCTTCTACAGTTAACCTAACCGAGAAAGCCCTTACAGGTCTACCCAGAGGCTTGTCTCCAGTTAAGCTGACAGCCTGGACTGGCCATCACTCACCTCCCCAGACATACACGTACGTAGGCTTGTTTCTCGGTTGTTCTTTGCCGGCTGTTGACAGATTTGCTGATCACTATGATAACATCTGAAGGCAGAAGAAGCCAGCAGTATCAATTCTATGTTTAACGTTCATAATGCTGCATCGTCGTCATAGACCTGCAAACGAAAGCCAGAACGACATGTCAAGTAGTCACCATGTCCAAACTCCAAACTCCATATGATGATAAACATTGGAAGGGGCTGGGGAGCAGTGACTTTCCCAGGCTGCTGGTGGGAATGTAGATGGGCACGGCCATTCTGGAAAACCTGCTGTGTCTCCAGAGCTGAAGACATCTTTCCCTGCGGTCCAGCGTCTTGCTACCCCATGGCTCTGTGTCCTGCCTGGCACATGGAGGGATGTGTATCTGTGGTGTCCTCTGTACCAACCCCACATCTAGCAGAACGGATGGAGTGTGTCATGGCCACCCCACATGGCCACCCCACATTGGCATCAGCACTGGCAATAACGAACTGCAGCCCTGGACATGCGTGGGACGTACCATGAAATGACCCATCTGGGAACTGAGAAACGTCCAGGGGCTGTGGCTGCTGTGTCCACAGGGCCAGCTCCCTGGGTTCTATGAGGGAACTCAGCTGTTCACATGCTCGCGTGGATCCTGGCCCTCTTCTGTGGGGAAGGCCCTCCTCTTTGACAGAGAACATGGCTTCAGGAGGGACACACACAGAGCCACAAGGGAGGAAGGAGACACCCACCTCTCCCGCCAGGTCAGCCGATCCACCCTGGCCATCAGTGAGGTCACATGCCACAGCCAGGTCTCTCCCACGTCCCTAGATCCCCTTTTAGATGTCTGCAGGTAGATGTCACCGAAGGAATCTGAAGACGAGGGCTGCCTTATGGCATGATGAGGGAAGCTAGGCCAGAGATCAGCCCTGAAGCTGAGAGGCTTCCTCTGTTCCCATGGAGTCTCGTGCTAAGGACCTGTGTCATTGGCTGAAGGAATTCCCTGGGGTCTGTGTAGAGGATATCCTCAGTCACCTGGGACCTGCAGTCACCCCCGTGATGGGCTCGCCTCTCTCCTGCCTCCATACCTATGGCTGGTCCTGGTGCTTGCTCTTACCGTTGTCCGTGGAGAGCACGTGGCCATCAGTGCCTGGGTCAGGCTGTGGCCAGGCCGCCTCCCCGAGGTTCTGTTTCCTTCCCCTGCAGTTTCCCTTCCTGGCTGCTGCTCTTGTTTTATTAGGTTGAGATGTAGGGGAAACGCCGTTCTTGTTTTTTTTCCTCACTTTGTGTTATACAATTTTCCCCATGGTTTTATTTTACTTTTGTGTGTAGTGTATGAATTTGTTCTTATCCATGTAGGTGCACATGTGTCTGTGAAGGCCAGAGGTTGATGTTAGGGGTCTTCCACCGTCACACTCTCCACCTTGTCTTTCAGACAGAGTCTCTCACCAACTGTCTGGACCGGCTGGCCAGTAGCTCGGGGATTTGTACCCAAGCTGTCTTTGTACCCCAGTACTAAGGTCACAGATATGCATGACCACGTTTAACTTTTATGTCGGTGCTGCAGGTCTGAACTCAGGTCCACATACTGAGTCTTCTCACCAGCTCCCATATTCACAATTTCAATAGAATATTCTATTTGGCAGAAATTGAAAATATTATATTCAGTTCCAAATGTGTTATTGGTTAAGGTAAGCACTCTCTGGTCACGTGACACAGATGTTCCCAGTTGTCAGAGACAACCCCACACCCTGGAAACGTCAGGTCCCAGCCGCCAGCCAGTCAGCAAACTCAGGGTCCTGACCTGGTGTGTGTACTGCAAGATGAAAATCCGTGTTCTGCAAATCATCCATCCCTGGGGGAGACAGATTTTGGCCATCTGGCTATACCCCTGAACTCCACAGAAAGAAGTAGTTTATGTTTAGCTGTTAGGTAGACTATTTTGAAGTAAACACACATAAAATGAACTAAATTTTGTTGAATAATGGGGAGTTTACACAGTATGTTGAAATAGCCCTAGGTAAACCTTTCTGGTACCATATTCGTGTGTGTGTGTGTGTGTGTGTGTGTGTGTGTGTGTGTGTGTGTGTGTGTTGTATTTCTTTCCCC